CTATGGGCCCATGACCCGCAGTGGGCTCGCTGCCCCATGTTACCTACTGTACTTCCAATGGTGTGCGGTCTCCCAAACCTGTTCGTTTATATGTATCCTGAATATAATTTTCATTTTCATCGCGAATTAATTTTTTCTATCTGTTGGTAAGCGAATGCATAAATTTTCGTATTCTTCCCCAGGAATAATGACCCTGTTTTGCAGGTGTTTCATCTGTGCAAGAACGGCGTGCAGTACTCGTTCGTTTGCCCCAAAGGAACGCTCTTTCACGACCGCATTGCCACCTGCGACTGGAAATCCAACGTCGACTGCCAGCCTCATGCAAGCGTAAATTACTTAGGGTGTTTTAAATTAGTAAACAGTGAATAATTTTTCTGAAAATATCATGAATGACGCTTAAGTTCTTTATTGTTATAATATGTACACGTTTGTTGAAACTTTCCGCAACAGAGATACCGTAATCCTTACTTTCATTAATATATGCAACATTGGAATGGCAATTATTGATCGAATACTTATGGTTTTAACTAATATTTGTTGATGAAATAATTTGAATAAATAATAATTTTGCAATTATTCCAAAGAATCATGCCACGGACGGGGGTCAGGGCAGCAAGACGAGCCACGTAAATGGTCATCAACATCATCATCACCACAGCGAAATTTCGTTGAATCTAAACCATGGTTCAAGGAGAGATTCTTTATCCCTTGTCGTGAACACTGAAGATTCCGATGATTCTATTCACGATCTGGAAGACCCGATATACTTCCGAGGCGACGATCATGAGCTGCCTGTTAGACCAGAAAGTGAAAACAAGAAGATTTACAAACTCAAAATCAAGGAACCATATAAACGAAAACATAACGAATATTTCGAGTCTATGGCCGATAAATACAATTCTGAGTTAGAATATACAAAAAAATTTAATGACATTTTTAAGTCGGAAAAGAAAGCTAATAGCGGAATCCTGCCGTCTGGTAAGGCACATACTAGCCCTGCGACCGTCCTGTTACTGCTTGATGATTTACTTGTGCCTGAGAACATTACAAGTAGCAATGAATATTTTGGTGATATACACGAAGTTTTGCGGTATTATCGACAAGAAAGAAGGAAACAAAACGGTGGTAAGGAGTACCGAAATAGCAAACCAAATTACAATGTTTTTATTTATGACAAACATCTCCATAATATGCCGGAGTTTTCCCAGAACACGGATCTTGACGTGTCGGCGGAAGAAATTACTAAATATAATCGAAATCGTCCGCAAAAGGAGTTCGCATCCCGTGAGAGATTGCACGATGCGGGACATCGTCCGAGGAAAAAATTTCCTCATCGACCTTCGACTTCGATTTACCCGACGTCAAAGGCTGATTTACTGGCGGCTGCAAACTCTGACCATGATGGGACCTTAGTGCCTAGACTTTCTCCCACTGACATAATGTCTTCTCTATTTCTGCAGTCGCTTTTGGTGAAGGCATTGGATCAAACTATAATGGTGCCATCACAACAGACTTCAACAGCGAGGCCCAGCATATCGTTAGCACTCGACGATAGACGCTATAACTCGACAGTTGACAGCCAGGCCACGGCCTACCGCTACAGAAAAATGTTTAATTCGTCCTCGTCACGTCTCAACAAAAAATTTGATAGTGCTGCTGATGCAGAATTTTCAGAAATGAATGAATTAGATATGGCTTTGGAAAAAATTAACTTTAACATGAAATTAAACCACACCACAGATGCAAGAAATGAAAAATTGACTGAAGACATAACAACACGAAGGCCAGCTATGCCTCCTGAAATTCTGCAAGCTCTTGTTCAGAGGTTAACAAATTCTACCATCGTTATAACTGACGAAACAATGTTGATGATGCTTAACAATGGGTCCCCATCCATGTCAGCACCATTGATCTCAGCGGCTAATTTTGTACCAAAGCCTACCACACCAACGATGTTCACATCGCAGGGAAATAATAATGGCAGCGAAACTGTAACTCAATTTCCAAATCCTGATGCCGAGCGTACAGAACCAGAGGTAACGGTCCAGACGACCACCACCGAGATCGAACTCATCGATGAGGTTAATAACACTTTGGTGTCATTCCCGTTGACAGAACTGGTGAATGGAGAGACTTTTTTGTTGTCTAACTTGACCAATAAAACGTCCGCTGCTGAAAACTCACCGGAATTTCACCGAAATTTCGCCATACATGTGCATGTACATAATTCTGTCCCACTTGATGATTCAGTCGTCACAAAGCCGAAGATTCCTGACTTTGCTTTTAGAGAAAAAAACTCACCGGAGATAAATTTCGCGGCACCAAGTGGCAAATTAAGATTTCATCCCCAGATCCAAAACATTTATTCAACAACTCCACATTCTCATTTGCGTAATAAGCCACGCATAACTTTCTTACCTCCCCTCCTAAGCAAACCTCCCATTTATACGACGTTGGAGCCGAAAAATACACCCAAAAAGCATCATTATGATATCCTGCACCGGGTTCATCCAGCCCTCGAAGATGACGCTCGGAGAAATCACGAGCAGACTGGTTTCCGAGTCAAGTTTCAAGACAAAACCACGAAGAGTCCTGTTGAGTACGAGATAATCCTTTCACAGAAGCCCCCCATTGTTGACGGTGAGGTAATACCTACTCCATTAGGAGGATTCATAACAGGACTAACCACTGCAACTTCAATAGGAACCGAAAATATCGCCTACACCGACGCGCCAGCAACTATTAGACTCCCGGAGCCGAAAGACGTCTTCTCTTCTGCCCCGACTACAGACAGGGGAGAAAAATCGTCGCCATCTTATGTTAATCCGGAGTTGGAATTGCAAACCGCTAATTTTAGGACTTTAAAACCACTAGATTATCTAATTAGGAAAAATCCTACTTATTTTCCCCCTCTTCTTTCTGAGATTAAAACTGCATCTAGACACCACAAAACATCAGCACCTGCAAGAGTGCCGTTCCAAAATTTGTTGACTCACAACAGTCAGTACATGTCAAATCCACTTTTCTCGTATCTTCTGAATTCTCCACAACAAGTACCGCCAGTCATAAAATTCCAACATCCTCACGGTTATATTATACCCAGCGGGAGCCGGTACACGAGTGCGAACTTCAAAGCCCTCTCAGCTCTCAATAGCTTACCTGATATGTTTAGTAGTTCATACAGTATTCCATTACCTTTAGAACCACACTCAACTTCAAACTCAAAAGAAAGCATACTAGCTGGAGTAAAGTGAATAGTGTGAATGCTAAGTCGATAAGAGTAGGAAGAATGGCCTCGGTGAGTTGAGTAGAGTCTACGGTAGGTTCGTGTCTGTGAGGTGGGGACCGGTAGTGTAGATCCAGGCCGCTTCACTGCATCGCAGGGGGTCAGCTGACAGGTGTCTGTTGGTGTGAAAATTTGTGCAGTGTGGTCGAAAGATTGTAGGGCATGATGTGTGCGTTCGTAGCCAGAGTTTATTAGGACTGGAGTCATGTGAAGGTATAGAAAAAATTCTACCACTGGAGATACCGCGTGAAAGATGGTGGGTTAATTGAGATCAGAGGGTTTGGAAAAGAAGAAGGGTGCTTGCTCCAGGGCTGGGATAAACATCTAATTTGTTGTCTACGGGAGCGACCCTAATTTTTCGCTGAATAAATACTATTCATGCCATGTTATTATTTAGTGTCAATGCAGCCAATTCACAACCTGTGATTCAAAACTTTGCATAGATACGATTAATATGTTAATGCACCTTGTTTAGTTGGAGCTCACAAAAATACTATAAAAAAACTCGATGTTCATGTTGGAGCTTATAACATAACATAACATAACATAACATAACATAACATAGTGATGTCGGCGCTGAAAGTGTAGGCCTGATGTGGCCTGTCGCCGATTCTTTTCCTTTTCGTGCCTTGTTCATAGATCTAAAAGTAGATTATAAGTTAGTGGTGCAGGATCTGCCGGCAATAAAACCATGTTGTCAATCTGATATGAGATGGTGAGCATTCAAGTGGTGGATAATCCTATCCCTCACAACAGATTCCATTAGCTTACAAACAACACTTGTTTAATGTATACATTAGCTTACAACCTCACAACAACCGGCAACTATCGCCCCGGCAACGTTAGGGCGATAGTTGCCGGGGCTGCTTTTGTCGCCTTTTTTGAAAAATGGTGTTACTTGAGCTTCTTTCCAGTCGGACGGCAAAGTTCTTTCGTTCAAGGTTTTTTGAAAGAATACTGTCAATGGGCCGGCCAGAACGGTATATCATAGTCGCCTTTCGCAAAGTTCAAACGTTCACGCTTCCGAAGCGTCTTTTCTGCACAACACTTAATATTGAAAAACAATGATTGGCGATGGTTTTTGCCCAACGGAGCCTCGTGGCGAAGCTCTTCTATCATTGATTCTTCACTAGTAAACACAAGATCTAGAATATTTGGGGTCTGTTTACCCCTATGTCGAACTATGAGTTTTTACTTAGCTTTTAGAAGCTATTGTGGTCAGTTATTATTGATTAATATTAGTAAATTATGGTTGAAATCTTTAATATAAATTGGTATCGTATTGTCGTGTTCACTTTCAGCGCTAGCGGGAATCATTGTGCTTGAATTGCGACATTGTAACATTCATCTCAGATTTCCTAATCATAAGTAAAACCTGAATTAAAATTGCAGAATCATGGTTTTATGTTGTCTTAATACGGTTAAAATATAGATGAGTCAAATATATATAGTGGTTTCAGTGTTTATTTCGCCGTAGGCCTGTCGGTTCATGGTATTTCCGATAGAAATGATAATACCAATCAGAAGAAAATACTGATGCTATGAATGAAGAAAATCATAATTCGTGAAATTAATTGAAAAAAGTGTTGAATGTACCTGCTGGTATATCAGGATATAATTGTTATCATTGGAATAGTTAAGTTATTTATTATACACTTTTAGGGCAAGCTTTTCCATTAAAAGTCAATTCGCCCAGTCCAGTGAAGTAGTTGTAACAGAGAAGTGAGAGTGTGGGTACGGTGATGTGACGCTGTTTGTTCATCTGTTTTCGTGGCCCGTTTGTTACTGTTGCAACATCTATTTAAATGAAATATTTAGATTTTAATATGCATTTCGTTAGAACTATACTTGTACTCATTATTTGCGTTTGCATTTACTGTGAGTTTATCGGTGTTAACGAAAATGTGGAGGAAGAAAGCTTGTTAACAGTCACTGCTACTGGCGATCAAGGTAACTTCGCGAATTTGATCTAAAATCAGGGTGTTGATTTTTTTCTGCTTACAAATGAAATCTAATTGGTCATGCGACCCTTTGCTTGCTGTAATATCTTGAAGGTTTACTGAAACAATTATTACTGTAGCTGATATTTATAATGAATACCAAATACCAATTACCAATACCTCGTTTTTCTTCCGAAGTTCCGAGTTTAGTGAAATTCCAAAAAATTGGGAGGGCCAAGGGAGGGAATTAGTATTTAAGTCCACTCTATACTCTATAGTCTATACCGTTTTTTTTTACAAGAAACAGCACACAAAATTTTGCCTTGCCATCCAAATTTCGGAATTAACACATTTTAAATCTATTATATCAACTTATGAAATTCCGAAGAAATTTCTGTCAATCAATTCAATCAATCATCAATGACTCAAGTCTCAAATTGCAAATTCTTTGTAGGGACAATGAGTCAATGATACATGTAACATGTATTATGATGTATACATGAATAATAAGTACAATTTTAGTTAAAAACTTATGTTACCACGTTGACTTGGCAGATTGAAAATAATTCAGCATATACAATTTACCAAAGAGAAAATATGTTGGTTGAATGTTGAAATGGACAATAATTGTTAGTTAGAAGTTGAAGAGAATATTTTATTAGTACCAAGTGAACTTTTATTTGTTGCGCTAATCATTTGAAACAGCAATAATTTGTCTTCATTGCTTTCATTTTCAACAATGCCTGATCGTTTGATTGACAATTTTTGACGTAAGATCAGAATTTACTAATCAAATAGTAACTAATAAGTTATGATGTAATCACGTTTACAACTATGAATTATATTGATATAATTAGAAGTTATTTAATTATCCTTCTCAGTCATATCAGAACTCTTGACCCAGTCTGTAGAGTATGGCACAACATAGGTCGAGGACGCCATTATTCTGCCCAAAAGACACCAAGGCACCATCTAATCGGACGGTGGACGCCATTGTTTGCAGCGAGTGGACGGCAAGGACAGCATGCGGACGCCAATTTTAGGTCGAGGTGGCAAATAAAAGTCCTTCAAAAGACGCCAATATCTCGAGCTAAAAGGCCATACTCTACAGACTGGCTCTTGACCCCATATTGAAAACAAATTTACAAGTAATCTCTTATTATTGATATTTATTAATTATTGATAGATACACATTCCAGTTATTGATTTATAAATGCTGCTTCTTGATATAAATGTAGCATATAGCAGCAATTAGAAAATAGATTATATTATATAAAATTATATTTATAAATAGAATAAAATGGCAAAAATGAGGTGCTAAAGTTTTGATTCACAAATATATACATATACATATTTAGGAAATGAAATTCTAGTAGACTACTTCAGGATTGGAAATGTAGTCCATCTTATACACATGCAATTAATAAACAGAGAATTTGTTTAAATAAATTGTCAAAGTCAAACAATTTTTCAAATGAAATTGATAGATTGAAAGGCATGTCTTATGAATTATATTATATATATATATATATATATAATATAGTTAAGAAAGAGGTAGCAGGCGTCCAATTTGTAGAGACGATGAGGCTAGCCATCTTCGGTCGATTGATGTCAGGCCACTGCTTGATGACAATGCTGGTGGGTTCCTTCAGCACAAAGCGAGTGACGGTCTGGTTGTGAGATTGACGCGTGTGGTTCCCTTGCCCTCCGGGTTGGAGGTAGCTAATGAGACAGCGTCTCGGTGTCTTGGTTGTTGATCCAAAGTGTCCGATGTAGTCCACAAAATGTTTTTCTGAACTTTGAAATGGTTTTCAGAGTGATTTTCTTATTCAAAATTTTACTATAGTATCCTATTTACATATATTATGTACTTACTGTATTTCCACCAGAATTTCAATATTTAATGCTCTTTGTAACTTGAAAATGAATGTTTGTTACATTCGAAACGTTGTTAATAAACTAAAACTACTTCCTGATATATGCCTTTTGATCTACCAACGTCTTCTGAAGAATTGTCCGACTCCTTGATAATTTAAATCAACTAATTCTCTGGTCGTTAATTGCACACGTATAAATATATAATAAATATGTACTTACTCATGTATAAAATTGATTTGTCCCTATTATGTTTTAAGGAATACACTTAGTGAAGCCTAAATATAATTGTTTATAGATTATAATAGAATATCATATGGTTTTAAACATCAATTCCACTATAAATGTAGTCAAATCGTAATTTGGAATATATTTACAATATGTGAAGAAATAATAAATATAGAAACTCAGAGATATAATAAATGTTTAGTAGAACAATAAAATGTTTACATGAATGATTGTTTCTATTTATTTTTTAAGAGAACTTCAGAAGTAACAATTTGAGTTACAGGTCAGTTAGTACTTGTCTGTTTTATAAAGCAGTGAAGTGACAATAATCTGATTTTTTTTCCATGTTATTCTATTGAATTGTGCCTTATAGTGAAGTTCATTCATTTTCTGCCAAATTTTGATTATACTTGTTGGCTTTTATTCAAGTATTTCTAAACTTTACTGCTGAGTGTTTGGCCTAAAAGTTGCATGTGCAAATGATCAAAATGTGCAAGGTGTTTGCCATTTCCTTTCCAGCCAGTCATTTACTGATTAAAACCAAATTTAACTAAACATAAAAAGCATGATGTGTAACTTTGGATAAAATACTTTACAACATAATTTTTCCTATACATACCAGCATTTGTTTTGGCAGAATGCCGTTTTTATTTATTTATAAATTATCTTCAACGATTAGACTGATTTGTGTTGATACGTATAAGTTAGTATATATTGGTTATGATAAGTTGCACGTTGCTTACCAAGCATTTAATGAGCTAAGTCTTGGTAAACAAATGATCAGTGCACTTTGAGATACAAGTATGAGAGGTTGTGTTGACAGCACAATTCCTCTGATTTGAGTACTATGTTCACAAAACACATATTGACTAAGATAATTTAGAAAGAATGTTAAATTGCACCATGCTACCTAATCTAATAAATTGTTGCAATTTTCTCTGTAATATGAATTATTTGCTTCTAAACCATTGAATCTGGTGTGGAAAACTTTCATATTTCTGTAGGCAACTAGATTATCAAAAGTCAAAAATCATATTTATATTGTGCCTCAAAAATAATGTAATTTTGGTGGGAATGTAATTTTGCAGCATAAGTCCCAACTGGAAAATTGGGCAGAAGCCACCCTTGAATTTGATGAAAACAAGCATGAATGCAGCCAATTTCAGCCAGTTCTGTTGCCTTCTTCCAATTCAGGAAAAAAATGTCTATTTTTTTCTTGATTGCAAAATGATTATTTTACCCTTGAATTTAGGAAACTTCTGTCTGGTATTCCAAATTTGCACTAAGTCATGTATTTAGGTTTACTTGTAAATATCAGGTCCAGAATTGGAATTTATTTATTTTGGAAATTTTGCAGTCCCAAAGTGACAAATTTCCCATTGATTCATAATCTATGGTAAACAATCACTTGCAACTCAATTGTGTAGGTACTTGGATTAAAAATTTGATGAGGTAATTCATTTAGCTGAAATTTCATGGTTCCAAGTATGGCAGGAAGCACAGTCTAGGACTCTAGGCTCCATAGGTAGGTACTACACTGAGTCCCCAGGATACAAACTTTGAGTACCTATAGAAAATAGAACTTTGGTATAGAAAGTATAACTATAAACTATAACTAGTAAAAAGTAGAACTATAAACTAAAATAATTTGTATAGAAAGTAGAACTATAAACTATAACTAGAAGAAAGTATAACTATAAACTATAACTAGTAAAAAGTAGAACTATAATCTATAAGAATTCGGTATAGAAAGTAGAACTATACTCTATATTCAGCCGCAAGATCAACATATCTGCATCTAATGCAATGAACATTTAGTTGTGCAATGAATAAAGAGATATAGTTGTGCAAAGTTGAGATAAATATGTTTCTACTCTTTAATTTTATCATCTGTCCTGAGCATTGCAATTCATGTTTTTCTATTTTGTTTAATTGCATGGGCTCTTGTCCTCCATTGAATTTATTGTAATTAAGTTTGCTCTTTCTAATCTAGTGAAACAAAAGCATACCTTAGTAACCTAGATTAATCAGCATAATGGTTTGAGTAAATTGCTAATAATATGACGAATGACATCCTGGTTTCAGCACCTATTTTTTGTAATATTCTATGGAAATCTATTATTGCAGCAAACTCAGCAATGGCTGTATTAGCTTTGATTAGTTGAATACTGTACAAACTTTGTTCATTAGCAGTCATGTTTTTTGACTTACATCATTTCTCAGTCTAACTGGGAAGCTCCTCTGATATGTACTTATGCTTGAACATGCAACTCACTGCTTCAATTTTGCTTATGCTTAACCACTTGGCCTCCTTGCGGATTTTGACCAGAAACTGGTGCACAGAGCTGTGAGCAAACCTGCGCCTCGCTGCTCTAATCTTTATTGTGAAAAGTCCTATGTGATTTAGCATGTCTAGGAGCAGAGTTTCTGAATTTCTCACCAAAGAGGTTGCAGTGTATGATAGCAGTTTTCAGTTGTGGGACCTGCTACATAACAAGTAGTCATGTGGTTGGTGGCAGCTGTGGGTTTAAATTGTCATACCAGGAGGATCTCTTAATTTCTCTTCTTTGTCTCTTCTGTGAAGGCAGCAGACATCTCAAGCAACCTGCACTTTGAGTGTTTTTGTTATGGTTGCTTCTCCCAGGTCCCTCCTTGTTGCTTGGTCTTTATGAGGTGCTTATGCTGCTCATTTCTTGCAGGCTTCAATAACCTCACCACTCAAGATTTTCTGTCCTTCGTGACTGATGAATTACTTGATAAATTTTCAAAAATTTTCCGTGAGTTATGAGCTGGTCCCTGAGATGTGGAGGTGAAAGATGACAAAAGCCAATCATTTCGTATTAATTTTAGTTTTGGATTCACGTAAGTTTGAGAGATCACTTGATGTCCAAGGAGTTATATGGTGAT